ACCCATTTATTTTCTGCTCTTCCATCCCATGCTGTTTCTTTTCTGAGAAACATTTTATGCATAAAGGTCAAATACTAACAGGTATGTCTATAAGTTCCTGAGCTCTTTTTATGGATGTGTCATGATTTACTTAGTGTCCACTGCTGAGCAGTTAGGATGAGCCAATTTTTAGTACTAGAAATATTTCAATGAACATCTGTAATTATCCTTTTTATTGCAGTTATATAACTTTTCTTCTTAAGATAAATTCTAGAAGTGAGATTTCTGAGATTGATGGTAGGCACATATTACATTTTGATCCTACAGGAATGAACTTTAGGTGGATCTGAGACCTGGTTTTGGAGGAAAAAAGGGACACGTGGCAGATGGCTCTTCAAGTCCTCCAGCTCGTGGAGGTGGTAAACACTCAAGCCTGTGCTGGGCTTGTTTTGTACTAGTGACTTGTATCTGGGAAGCAGGCAGGTTTGCAGAGGAGACCAGCGAGAGTAAAGGACCCAGTAGAACAGGAAGCATGAGTGCGTTGTCCCTGGCAGAATCATCGCTCTGTATAGAAACTTTTGGAAAATATCATGGCAGGTGTCTTTTCCACTAGGGGAACTGGGGATCTGGGAAATTTGTATTCTGTCTGGGAGTATTCTATCTTCTGTAACCAACTCTGTAAATTATAACAATTACTTTCCCTTTAATTTTTCTGCTGGTGTCACTCCCATCACTGTCCCATGACGATGCCTTCACATTTATACACTGCCAAGCTACCCTCTCCCAGGGAAGGTTGTGCCCATTCACACTCCCACCACACATCTGTGCACAAAAATCCCTGTCTCCTCCTTGTCTTGCCAACATTTGGTCTTGCCAATACTATGTTTGCCAACCTGTGGTTAAAGAGATATTTCATTCTGATTTGTATTTCCATTTCGTTAATTTTTAGTAATTATTAATTTTCAAATGATCATGGGATACGACATTTCTTCTTTTGCGTTATTTTCTTTTCATGGCCTTTGTAGATTTTTAAATTGGTCTGTTTATTCTTACTGACTTATGAAGACTCGATGTATATCAGAGCCTGTTATATGTGCTGTTTGTCTTTCAGCCCTGTTGATGGAGATGTTTGCATAGCTTCAAAAAGCTGAAACACAAGGGTTTCTTTTACTAAATGTCCACTGGAAGGATTTTTTATATTAAAAAAACTTATAATTATACAATATTGCAAATATATTTATCACTCAAATTTAATATTTTATCACATTTGGACATTGAAATCATATCTTTGGATGATTTAAAAATTGCATGTATGCAGATGTGACTGGCTTTACAGAGCAGTGAGATGGCCTGTGCATGACTCAGTTAAGACACTAGCTACAAGATGCCATCGTGTGAGGCTGAAGTGTGTGTAGAGAAATGGTAACCAACACATGGAGGTGTTTTTTTGGGAGCAGTTTCCCCATTTCAGATCATAATTACAGTGGTATGCCCTTGACATCTGGTCAAGGTTATCCAGTGGTAACCCTACCAATTCTAGACCTTTAACTAGAAAGGACTTCTGAAAGCACTTAATTCTCTGTATCATATCCCTTTGCATGTGAGATTTCTATTTCTGGCAATGAATTCTAATATAACTTTGTTCTTCTCCCTCCTTTACCTAGAGCCCATGTGGAAAGACCATTGTTTAAATTTTTTTAGTAAGAGACAGGAAGAATAGTGCTATTTGGAACACAGCGAGATAGGCTGCCAGCGTTCAAATCCCAACTGTGCTGCTTATTAGTTTTATAACCTCAGACATGTTATTTAAACTCTCAGTGTCTTCAGTTTTCCTCATGTGTAAAAATAGAATAATACCTCAAAAGTTTATTGAGAAATGTATCCCCTAAATGTCTAGGTTTTAACGCCCACATGGGCTCGGAAGACAAAGGTCTGAGATCAGATGAGGCTGTAGATGGATGGGACTGAGGCCCGTGAACAAGGACTGAACAGGTGCAAAAGAATAGTAAGAGGTCCTGAGGGGAGGATGAACTGCAGTGTGGGGAAAACAGTATGGAGGCCCATGTGCTGTGAAGGAGCTGGGAAGGCCGACAGGGGCTGACTGATGGATGGAGGGCCTTAAAGATCATGATCTTGGTAAGAAATTTGGATTTTACATGAAATTCAAAGCCATTGAAAGGAATCAAGGGGGTGGGTGTGGTGGCTAACACCTATAATCCCAGCACTTTGAGAGGCTAGGAATCTGAGACCAGTTTGAACAAGAGTCAAATACCCCATTTCTACTAAAAATAGAAAAATTTGCCAGGTATGGTGGTGTGTGCCTGTAGTCTGAGCTACGAGGGAGCCTGAGGCAGGAGGATCACTTGAGTCCAGGAGTTTGAGGTTGCTATGAGCTAGGCTGATGCCATGGCACTCTAGCATGGGCAAAAGAGTGAGACTGTCTCAAAACCAACAATGTTGGGTGTGGTGGCTCACACCTGTAATCCTAGCACTCTGAGAGGCAGAGGCAGATGGATATCTTGAGGTCAGGAGTTTGAGACCAGCCTGCGCAAGAGTGAGAATCTATCTCTAAAAATAGCCGGGCATTGTGGTGGGCGCCTGTAGTCCCAGTTCCTCAGGAGGCTTAGGCAAGAGGATCACTGGAGCCCAAGAGTTTGAGGTTGCTGTGAGCTATGATGCTATGGCACTCTGCTCAGGGCAACAAAGTGAGACTATCTCAAAAAAACAAAAGAAAAAGAAAAATGCCACAATAACAAACAAAGTCTCCAAACCTTAACTAAAGCATGTCCCTGGCTTATTACAGTGGGAGCCTAAAATGGGGGTGGGGGGCTATTACAAAGTAAAACAGAGGAAGAGAAGACTTATGTAACAAAAAACCTACAAAATGTTGCTGATTTATAATGGGAAATGTATGAGAAAATGGATTTCATGAGTGGTAGACCAGAGAAGAAGAAACACGACTTTAGATTGGGCTGAGTAGAACAATATGGACACACTTATTAGAGATTCTATTTCAGCACACTACCTGGATTGAGACCAGCTGATTGCTGAGCTGGCTGGTTGAAGCCTGCACTAAATGGTTACCTGTGCCAGCTGAAGCTAAGATTCCAGAAATTCATTAATATAAAGAGGAGGAAGGAATCGAAAGATTGGAAGAGACAAAAGTATTGGAGAGAATTTGTCATAGGCAATATGGTCAGGTTATCAACTCTGTCTCCTCAAAGCACTAATGGTAACACTAATCTCTGCTTTTCCCCAAATCTGCAGTATTGCTTCCAGTTTTCTATTTTGGTAACGGCTCGGTGCCTGTAGCATAGTGGTTACAGTGCCAGCCACATATACCGAAGTTGGCGGGTTCAAGCCCAGGCCAGCTAAAACAACAATGACAACCGCAACAAAAAATAGCAGGGCATTGTGGCAGGTGCCTGTAGTCCCAGCTACTTGGGAGGCTGAGGCAAGAGAATCGCTTAAGCCTAAGAGTTTGAGGTTGCCGTGAGCTGTGACGCCACAGCACTCTACCAAGGGCGACATAGTAAGACTCTGTCTCAAAAAAAAAAAAAAAGCAGCATTCCAGGTACTTAGACTACACTCCTCTTCCGCGACAGCTTTCATCCCTTGGATCAGGAGCCACCTGCTCTTTTTCCTTTTGCTAATCTATTTATTTCAACTATCTACATAGGAAGTAGGGAAATATTCGCTAGGATGGATTTGTGGACTCACAGGAACTACCATGAGATGGATTTAAATCAAAATTCCACTTCATCCCTGACCATCACTAAGCTCTAATTCCCCCAGAATGGGGAATCACAGCAGCTTTCAAACTGGTGACTGGCTGTGCTTCAGAGCATTGCTCAATAATTCCTGAAAGACTTCTCTTTTCCCAGTACACAACTGTCATGGTAAACAGCCACAGGTCATTTTAGGGGAGGCTGGAACAATAAACACACACGTGGGCTATTATTGCAGGGCAGCTGCTGGAGGTCACTCCCTTATTCATGCAGCTCTGTTGGCTGTGAACTGGTTATTGTGGTCACTCAAGCCAGGCTTCTC